ATCTTATTCTGGCCATATCTCCGGAACCGGTTCACCGATTCCAAAACCGTTCAATAGCGTTCAATGGGACCCCAAGACCTATCATTTGGCGCCGAGTTTGTCCCAATAGCGTTCAATGGGACCCCAAGACCTATCATTTGGCGCCGAGTTTGTCCAAATCGGTTGAGCGGTTGCTGAGAAACGTGAGCGCATTCATTTCGTTACATACACACACACATACACACATACACACATACACACACACACACAGACATGTTCCGATCTCGTCGAGCTGAGTCGAATGGTATATGACGGTTTTTCAAGTGATATCTATACCCTTCTTTGTAAGAAGGGTAAAAAAATATATTGCCCTTTTTAGTGCCTAAATCCAGTTGATTTTTCGTTATCAAACTACGCCAATATCATCAAAGTAAAAAAAGTAAAATTCCGTTGTGTGATTTTGGCAAGGTGCTCTAAGGTATTATAAAGAATATCTAGATGTAGCACCAACATAATCCGAACATGTTTTCCGTCGATCTTGTTTTCCGTGCTGAGCACCAATGCTACCGACGCTGCTCCCTGGACCCTACCTATCGACCCATCAGCTTATGAACCGGGAACCAACGGCTTTACTTCCCGAAGGAAGGCATGATCAGAGATGTTATGCATCAGAACATCCCGGTGGCGCTGACTGGGATTGAACCCAGGCCTGCTGGGGTGAGAGTTAATCACGCTAACCACTTCACCACCGGCGCCGCTTAGAATCAAGAGATGAAATAATTTAAAAAATGCTCGATTTTTCTTACACACTATCACCCCCGTAGTGATAGAATTCCCAATGAAGCTGTCTACCTTCTGAACGCCCTTGATCTTTTGAACAACTTTGCTGAAGACTCAATTTTTCTAGGTGGTCGGCATCATGAGATAAAACAATTTAAAAAAAATTAAAGAGTTGTGTCCTAGACACGAGCGCAGTATGACGTAGAACCACGCAAAATTGATGTTTGTCATGCATTTTTGACTATTATACTTATTATTATGAATGGGGCGGGGCAGAACGTATCTTTTGTGCAGAATATGGAAAAAAGGATGAACTTTGGATGTTAGTCTAATAGCATGTATATAGATACCAGATATGTTTTACAGTCAGTTGTTAATAATTTACCAACATAATATCATTGGATGTACGTCTCCTCTTAAGCAATTTTTCTGAAAATTTTGGCTTTTGTTCTTACTTATAATTGTAGTTTGCTTAAAATTTATTTCCCGGAAAAAAGTGATCGTCGAATCCGTGTCTTTTTTGAGTTGACGTTATAGACGGGGGAGGGGGGAGGGATATTTTGTATATCCAAGCCACATTCCTTGTCTTGGTCCTGCTTGCTGCATCTTCTCGCATCCCATGCAACGTTACCTTCAATGATGCCCAGGCTAATACAAATGTGGATGCTGCAAACCTTTTCGCCATGTTCTTCGAGAGCGTTTTTAGTAAAGTGTCACCTGTACCAAGGCGCGATTGTTTTGCTCACGTTCCTTCGCACAACATCAACCTACCCGTTATGCAGTTTTCCGCAAATGAAGTAGTAGAAGTCATCGATGAGCTTGACATCAAAAAAAGGATCTGGGACGGACGGAATACCACCCCTGTTGCTGAAAAACTGTTCGAGAGAACTAGCGAACCCAATTGCTCGCTTATTCAACCGATCACTTCACGAAAGAACCTTTCCGACAGCTTGGAAAGCTGCTTGCATCGTTCCTATTCACAAATCTGGCAACTATAATCAGGTGACAAATTATCGCGGCGTATCTATAATTTGCTGTCTCAGCAAAGTGTTTGAAAGACTGGTACACAACGTTCTATACAACGTAGCGTCTCCCATCATCTATGATGGTCAGCATGGCTTTATGAAGCATCGATCTACAACAACGAACCTCATGTGTTACGTCACAGCACTGTCTCGCGAAGTAGAAGAGCGGCGACAAGTTGACGCGGTGTATGTTGACTTTGCGAAAGCCTTCGACACTGTACCGCATATTCTAGCCGTGGAAAAACTGAAGCACATAGGTTTTCCAGATTGGATTACAGACTGGATACATTCGTACTTGTGCGATCGTACTGCATATGTTACGGTCAACTCGACTCGATCCCGCACTTTCAAAATCACGTCTGCAAGGAAGCGTTCTGGGACCATTAATATTCAACATTTTTATAAATGACCTGTGTCTGCTGATTTCCTCGTTTAAGCTTTCATTCGCTGATGACCTAAAAATGTATCGTGTCATAGCTTCTCTTCCGGATTGTATTGCCCTACAAGAAGATATTGATACTATACTGGTATGGTGTGGCGATAACGGCATGCGGGTCAATAACATGAAGTGCAAAGTTATTACCTTCGGTCGCTGCAATAAACCCATTCTTCATCAATACAAAATGGAAACTGCATCATTGGAACGTGTGTCGTCCATCTGTGACCTTGGCGCTACCATCGATTCGAGGCTCAGATTCAACGAACACGTGAGCATTACCACTGCCAAAGCTTTTTCTGTGCTGGGACTCATCCGTCGCCACGCTTCCTGTCAGACGAGTAACGATGCAGCGGCTATTTATTTTCGATGTCATTGGAGGATCTATCGATTGCCCTGAACTTCTCGCACAGATCCCGCTCAACATTCCTCCTCGACGGTTTCGGAGCTCAGCTTTAATAGCAGTCCCATACTACAGAACAAACTACGGCTACAACAACCCTTTCGATTCGTGTCTTCGCTTGTTCAATGTTGTCTGTGACGAATTCGATTTTAACTTGACTAAAAACGTTTTTAGAAATAGGATTAGTAGTAATTTCTAGTTTATAAGTAAAATAGTTCAGTCTGTACGACTAGTCGAAGACGGTGATAAATAAATAAATAAAAATAAATAAATAGAGGAACCAGATATGTTTTACAGTCAGTTGTTGGTAATTCATCGAGTGTATGTCTCCTCTTAAGCATTTCTTTTTAAATTTTGGCTCTGCGTGTAAAAAATTTATTTTACTTATAAGGGGCTGTTCATAAACTATGTAGACAGAGTTTAAGGGGGGGGCTGGAAATTATCCACAGCCCATACAAATAAAAAAATGTATAGACAATTGTCTACGCAGGCGGGGGGACAAGAATCCAAAAAAAACTGTCTACGTAGTTAATGAACAGCCCCTAATTGTGGTTTGCTTAAAATTTATTTCCCGGAAAAATGTGATCGTCAAAGTCCATGTCTTTTTCGGGTTGTTGTTAAGGGGGTGGAGAGGTTGTTGTTAAGGGGGGGGGGAGGCGAGGTTGTTGTTAAGGGGGGAGGGGGTTTTACATACATAATTTTCTAAGTCTCAATCCTCATTGTGGTAGCCATGGTCACGCCGTGATCCACCTTTAGCCGCTGTCTTGGTCCTGCTTGCTGCAGGACCTAGTGCCACGCCATCCGCAGAATGATGTGCACCCAAGTGGTATTCGATTATGATGACTGGGTTTGGGAAAAACGTTTAGTTCATGAAAACAGTGATACAATTATCATTTGCACATTTTCCAAAAGTTGTTCGATTAATAATTGGAAAAGTATTTATTTAAGCAGATTTGTTAAGTAATTTCCTATCGATTGGTGTATTTGGATTTTAATTTCATCTATAAATGACAAAGTTACAAGCGTTCAAAACCTAACACTATTTCACCACACATATTTTTTGATTTGCACTCCAGTATATTCGACAAAGACTTAGTTCTACGTCAAAATGCTCACAGTGAGAGAATTCCTTAACTAAACTTGCCATCTTGCTGACGCTCTTGATCATCTGAACAGCTTTGCTGAAGACTCAAACTTTCTAGGTCGTCACGATCACGAGATAAAATAAATCCAAAAATGCTCTATTTTACATGCACACTAGCGCCTAGAGCCACGTAGTGTCATAATTCCGAACCAAACTGTCACCCTTCTAGACGTCCTTGGTCTTCTAAACAACTTTTTTTGATGACAGCACCTTTCCAGATAATGAGGATTTCGAGATATAGGTGATGCTATACTTTTCATGAGATGATGCAGTTTTCAAATGAGTGTGGGAATACTTTTTTAAGCGATTCCATACTTATGACTGATAGTGTACCAATTGTTATTTCGTGTGTGTTAGAATTTGAAAATTGGTATCAAATTATAGGGGGCCTCGCTATAAAAATAGACAAAGGGCCCCAAGGGTGGTTAAGACGGCCCTATTTTAAGTGTTCAATCGCTAAATATAATTTTGAGAACGCAGCAAAAGAACTTTTCTTGGATTTTATTTTCCATATGATTTTATTTCAAACATATTCAATAAGTTAAGAGACTGAATCCATGTGTTTAGAAGAATGGGCAAACATTATTGTTTTTAATTTATTTTATTACTATTTATGATTAAAAACGCGATATCTCAGGAACTACACAAATTATTAGTAGTTGTTAAGTATCACTAATGTAAAAAGGATGGAAAACAGGTTGGTGCCATTAAATTTTAAATTAAAATATACTCATTTAGAGAAAATTGCATTTGAAGTTTTCAAACTAAAACTAAAATTATTTGGCAAAACTTTTCATGCATAATAGTTTCAGATTTAGATTTTTCACTAATTTTCTAATGAAAACAATACCCAATGCTACCTCTAGCTTTATTCGTTCCGGAGATATAAACAAAATAATGCAGTGCTTTCTTGAAAATTACGGAAAGTAATAAATGCTCCTCTTGATCCAGGGTGCTTCGATTAGTTAGAACAAAAAAATTGATATTTCAAATTTAGGAGTTAAATGAACATCCCCGCCAAATTTGTTACAAATTGGAGGAGGTCAATTTCAACTACCTCGGACACTTGGCGCGGAATGACCCATATCATACAATCAATTTAAGTGACAAACATATTTTTGGCCACTCGTTTGTATGGGACCTTCCCATAGTGCATTTGTATGTTTTTTTTTAATATCTTTATTAAGGAGACTTTCAGCCCTGGGCTGGTTCGTCTCCGTCATTCGTAGATGCTAAAAGCACAAAACAGAGACCGACAGACAATTTTGATCCATATTGTGCCTATAATCCACACTGTGGATCTTTTTATATGACCAGTTTGCAGTTAGGCATCAGAGTATTATTATTATTGTTATTATTATTACTATTATTATCAATATTGAATAGCGGTAGATAGCGGTAGAAATGCGAAATATTCCTAGTGACACCCCTATAACCAATGTTTTGGAATTTACACGTGCTTTTCCTGTTAGTAATTGTGTTGGTGAAAAACGGGCGAAGAAAATGTTTTCGCCCGTGATTTTCCACACTAACCCATTTCTGACAGGTTTCCGCTCTTACAGAAGAAAACTGAAACAGAAGAAACACGCATACAGACAAAATCGTGATAACATGACACTTGCAGGATTCGCTTGAGGTAGTTCATTTTTTCGCTTCGATAGGTGAAAATTGTTGTTCTGCTGAGTTTCACTCCAAAATGGTGCTAAATATAAACTGATTGTAGAGTATAGCATGTTCCCTGTCATTCATTATGTGTGATATCTGTTGAATGGAACAATTTAGACCGCGATATGATGGTGAAATTATAAAAGTAAAACCCTCACAAAGGATAGTCGTACATTTTTCTTCTCCCTAATAAATGCACAGACTTGATAAGTAGTTTGATACAGGCAGAAGTTCAGTGAAAAATGTCCTCTGAGCAGTGAAGTTGAGTTTGGATAGTTAACAATTTAGAGTAGAGTTATTGGATATTTCATTTCGTGGTGATTCTAGCGAATCAGTAGCAATGTCATCGGATGGCTCTAGTTCATTTTTTGGAACTTGGGAGGTAATCTTAAATGCCATACAAAACTGTCACGCAAATATTTTTATCTATAACATTTTCTATTTTCTTATGCAGATAATTGAATCTCATCTGGATGGAACGACAGATAAGCTTGGATTGGAAGGGTAAATATACAAGCTGCTTATCTGTATACTTAGATTTCTGTAGTTTATTTCTTGGAGATAGACAGACATCAATACAAAGGGAGTGGCACAGGGCATGCAATGAGTGGTGTGTGCAACGCAGGCCAAAGTGAAATGTTACGAAATTTAGGCTTTATTCGCGATATTAACAGTTAACTTAGTGATTGTCCAAAGATTGTTTTCCATCAACAATACTCATTTTCCTAAAAAGCTAATTAAATCTATTTCATGTAGATATATGCTGGGTGCATTTTTGCATGCATTTAAAGAAAAGTGTTTGCCAATGTTGATAAGCTGCGTGATGAGACTGTGTAAAAATAGAGTTATCCACTTTGATACATGTCTTTAAATACATCTTTCACAAATAAGCAAATAAATGCTTAAATTGATTACCCCACAGATAGATACCGCAGAATGCACGTAGTGAAAAATTCCGCGTACAATTTAGCGTCTAGTTGTGTTCAGTTGATTGTAATATGTTTTTGACATACATGTTGTGGAATATTCACCTTATTTTTTTTCTAAAACCTATATTTTTGATTTCAAAATATAAAGCGTTGGTTTTATCATTTCAAGCAATTAAGCTAGTGGCGCCGGTGGTGTAGTTGTAAGCGTGATTACCTCTCACCCCAGCAGGCCTGGGTTCAAATCTAGTCGGCGCTGCTAGGATGTTCTAAGGTATAACATCTCTGATCACGCCTTCCTGTGGAAGGGAAGTAAAGCTGTTGGTCCCCGGTTCATGAGTTGATGGGTCGATTGGTAGTGTTCAGGTGTGGCAGCTGCCTCCCTGGTGTCGGTAGCATTGGTGCTCAGCACGGAAAACAAGATCGACGGAAAAAACAAACCAAAGGAAAAAAAAGAGATCCGGCGCCTAATTGAGATCCTCATAACGGCGCCGACTGGGATTGAACCCAGGCCTGCTGGGGTGAGAGGTAATCACGCTTACCACTACACCACCGGCGCCGTTATGAGGATCTCAATTAGAGTTATAATTATCGATTGAAATTAAGCTTGCACGGCCATTTTATAAAGTCTGAACAGAAAAAAGCTTCTTCCCATTGCTGTCATATGGCATTATTGATCCGTTTAAGCTTTTTCGATTTTCTCTAAGCTCGTGGTTCATTATTCTTTTCCATACGCTGTTGACCGATTCCACGCCAAAAAAACGTTCGGTCACCGAACACGACTATCTCTGATCTGGATGACACTTGGCTCATAATTTCAGTATGATAGTTCTGAAATTTTCCGCAGGTTTGATGGCCATTTTGAGTCAAGCCCAATTTTTGAAAAGGGCTGATGTGTTTTCGCGTACAAATTATTTAAAAAAGTCGTACAGAAACAGTTGGTTGGAGACAAAAACTTACAAAGAAAGAGTTGTAGGGAACTAATAAGTTTTTATGAAAAAATATACACTGAAAACAATATTCAAAAATAAACCTTAACATTCAAATAAATAAAAAGCATATTTTTGTTTTTGACGTAGAACTACGTCTTTGTCGACTATACTGGGGTGCAAATCAAAAAATATGTGTGGTGAAATAGTGTTAGGTTTTGAACGCTTGTAACTTTGTCATTTAAAGATGAAATTTAAATCCAAATACGCCAATCGATGGGATATTTCATTACAAACCTGTTGAAATAAATATTTTTTTTTCTAATTTTCCGTAATAAAACTTTTGAAAAATGTACAAATGATATTTTTATCACTGTTTTTTTTTATGAAATAAGCGTTTTTCTCAAACCCAGTCATCATAATCGAGTACCAATTGGTTGCACATCGTTCTGAAAAAATATAATACAGCGCTACTGTCGCGCTTCTGCTCATTACCGCTTCGGACGGCGTGGCGCTTGGTCCTGCACTAAGCAGGAATAGTTATTCATGCAAAACTCACCCCCCCCCCTCCCCTATAACGACAACTGGAAAAAAAACATGGACTTTAACGATCACTTTTTTCCGGTAAATAATTAATCATTTGGTCCAACCATTTTCCACAGAGATGGCGCTGTTCCGCTGGTAGGAAGTGATAAAAATCCCCATATAGAAATTGATATCTCATATCTCTGTGTATATTCAGGTAAAAACAAAGTGAACGAAAATCTAAAGAAATTAGTCAGCGACTTTGTCGTTCACTTTTTTCCCGGAAATTATTGTTAAACAAGCTACAATTAAATAAAAACAGTTTTTCCCCATACAGTTTTACCTGCTTTACCACCAGTCCTCAGGGGCCAACAAATTCAAATTTGAGAGAAAAAATTCGCTCTTACGACCTCAATCTCTCAACATGCCATGTACTGTGATAACACTCGATTTGTGATTTCCCTTTCACAAATTACGAAATAGAGTACCTGACACTACAAAACATGTCTGGTACCTCTATATATGCATTTACTTAAACACTTAAAGTCCCTCCATTTTTACATATTCTGCGCAAAAGATATTTCATGCCCATAAAAATCGGCGGGAAATTCTGTGAGGGGTGACCTATTTTGTGTGCAGAATGTGTAAAAAAGGAGGGTCTTCGTATATTAATCTAAATGCATATATAGAGGTACCAGACATGTTTTGCACTGCAGTGTCCTCTGTGAACAATTAACGGAAAACAGATTATGTGTAGTTTCCGATACATGTCACTGCAAACAACAGCAGTGACATCTGATGGAACATGAATGCAAAAGCTAGACAAAATAATGAATTGTTAAGCAAACTACAATGTAGTAAAAAAAAGTTTAATTTCGTTAATTTTTTTTACCCAAACGACTGCCCAAAGAGCTTCGAATTTGATAAAAAAAAAATCGTTCACAATATTTTGATGTTATTCTGTGGGTGATTTACCACCAACTGACTGTAAAACTTTTTTTTGACTTTAAATGATCTTTATTTCTTGTGTTTGTGTGGTTTACATTTATGATTTTTTTCAAGTGACACAGATGCGTCTTTTCAACTTTAGTACATTTGAGAATTTAATTATTATTTACAGGTCCTAGTCCTATCAGGCCTATTTTAAAGTATGACCACCTTGGTGGGATTGGTTTGATTTGAATTGGAAAAAGGAGACTACTTATAACTTTTATTTACAACTACAACTAACCTACAACTACTATATACACCTAACCTACTATATACAAATTGCTTATCAAAGCATGTTCTGATAAATTACATTTTTCTGCAAATTTAGTCTTAATTTCGTTAATTCTTGAATCTATTTTGGCAATTCCTGCCTCTTCGTGTAAATTTGTTATTCTAGTGTCGAAAGGACGATCAAGAACCATCCTCAGCACTCTATTCTGTGCGACCTGAATTTTGTTCCTGTGAGTCTGTGCACATGATTCCCACACCGGAGCTGCGTAGAGGATCGCAGGTGCTATGATTTGTTTGTAGACGGCCAGTTTGTTCACCCTTGAGAGGCGGGATCTGCGGCAAATCAGCGGATACAGACACCTAACCAAAGCAGAACACTTGACTACAGTTTTCTCTACATGCGAACGGAAGAGGAGCTTTTCATCGATCAACATCCCGAGATAGGTTACTTCGGCGGACCACTCAACCCTTGTACCATCCATGATTACAGTACAAGATGGAGCCGGTTTCAGTTTGGGCGATTGCCGATGGAGGAACATGTTCGCTTGTGTTTTGGAGGGATTGATTTTAATTTTCCACGTGGTGGCATAATCAGCAAAGGCGTTAAGGCATCGTTGAAGTTTGTTCGTTATTTCGCGAGGCATCCTTCCTTTGACGGCTATTGCGGTATCATCTGCGAACAGGAAAAACACGCAACCGTCTCCGAGGGAAGGAATGTCGGAAGTGTAAATGCTGTAAAGCAAGGGGCCCAGCAGACTGCCTTGCGGGACACCTGCTGGGATGGAAAACGTGTCTGAAAGACAACCATTCAACGATACCTTAAACGACCTTTGCTGGAGGTAGCTACGGGTGATTTTAACCAGATGTAATGGGAAGTCCGTCATGCCAAACATTGTCAAACGCCTTTTCAACGTCTAACAAGGCCATGGCTATGGACTTGGATACAGCTTTGTTACTTCGGATGTTATTCATCACCCGTACTAGCTGGTGATTGGTGGAGTGCCCCTTTCTGAATCCTAACTGTTCCGGAAGGAGAATGTTGTTTTCCTCGACAAACTTGAGCAAACGATTGAGAATGAGTTTCTCGAACAATTTGCTCAGCGCTGAAAGGGGGCTGATTGGTCTGTAGCTTGAAGGCAATGTTGGATCCTTACCGGGCTTACGGATTGGTATGATTTTTGCTACTTTCCAGATGCTTGGAATGTAGTGCAGTTCCAAGCATCTGTTGAAGATAGCGGTTAGAAGAGACTGCACTTTCATGCTGAGTCTCTTCAAGATCAAGTTGAATATACCGTCAAACCCGGGAGCCTTCATGTTCTTGGTGCATTTCAGCGCTGAGCAAATCTGTTGTACTGTAATCATATCCGCCAGAGTCACGACACAATGGGAGGTATCTAGGTTTTGAACGCATTGCGCAACCTGATCATCGAGCGGAATTTGGATAGTCGAGCCATGCAAATGCGATGAAGCGACATGCTTGCCGATCGCATTTGCTTTCTCCTGTGGGGTGATTAAAAGCCGATCGTCATCATTTTCGACTCTGAGAGGTGGAACGGGTTTGGGATGAGTTTTCAGGACCTTGGCTACCTTCCAGAATGGTCTGGAGCGGTCGTCCAGATTCTGGACAAGCCGCCCGAAACTATCGTTCCGAAGTGAGACCATTCTGGAAGCAATCTCCTTGTTCAGATCGGCCATTTCACGTTTCCTCGCTAGATCTCCAGTCCTCTGAAATTGGCGTCTACGAACATTTCTCAACCGAATCAGTAATTGGGTGTGGGAATCAATAGCAACAAACTTACCCCTCACAGGAACTTGTCGAACACACGCCTCGTCAGCCACGGATATGGCCTGTTGGAGTCCTTCCAACGCCCGGTCGATGTCATCTACAGTGTCGAGCAGTGGATTTTCATTGATGTTGCTGTCCACCATTCGTCCGTACTGCACCCAGTTGACATGGTGGTAGTCTTTACGCAGGCAGCTTCTAGCAGCAACCACGTTGACACCGACTTCAGTCACCACCGGTTGGTGGTCGGAGCTGAGATCGTTGTGCGCCTCCGGCTTGGAGAGTTCGATGTTTGACAGGAAAAAGTCCAGAGTGGAGGGATTTCCCGCCGGAGAGATGAAAGTGGGTTCGTCCGGAAATTGCACACTGTACAGTCCATGTTGTGCGTGGTCGAACAATAGACATCCATTCCGGTTCCTCTGGTAGTTCCGCCAAGCTTCATGGTGGGCGTTCAGGTCGCCCCCAACGATGAATCGAGAGCTAGTACGGGTGATGGCGGTCAGGTCCTTTTTGAATTGGATTCCTAGTCCATTGCTTGCGGTACACTGGCGTGGGCAGCAAACAGCGATAAACCGGACGTTTCCAGTTGGTGATTCCACCTCCACACTAACGGCCTCGATGATAGAAGTGCGGATGTGGGGCAGAGTAAAACTTGATTCCCTTTCTAACGATGACCGCTACACCACCCCCCTGGAGCTGGTGCGATCAAGCCGGATAATGTTGTGGTCAGGCAACCAGAAGCTGTCACCGGACTTTAGGTGGGTCTCGGTTAGAAGAACCACGTCGATGCTATGCTTGCGGAGGAAGTCGGCAAGCTCAATATGTTTTGCTCTTACAGATCAAGCGCTCCAGGTAGCGATGGTTAGCGGTTTAGACACCATACTGGATGATGAACTTACCGAGCACTTGGATCTGTTCGGGCTTGTTTTGGCACTTAGGTAGAGCACCGGTAATATTGATGAAAATCGCCATCAATTCATCCGCTGTGAACAGATCGGGATTATTTGGTTGAGCACCCTTGGATTTGCTTGTCCATGAAGAGGCGGAAAGTCCTCCGCCCTGAAAGCCGGGGCCTTATCCTTCCTTCGTGCTGGTTGATTTTTGGGTGCACGCCTGATTTTGGATGCGCTTGAAATCGTCGCGTTTAGGGCACTGCTTGTTGGATCCTTGGTGAGCACCACCACAGTTGGCGCATTTTAACGCCACGGCTCCATCCGCAGGGCAGTCTGAAGTGGCGTGGTCTTGAGCGCAATTGCCACAGCGTGGCTTGATGTTGCAGTTGCGGGTGCCGTTTCCGAAGTTCAGACACCGTTGGCACTGAGTCACATCACGATGGCCGCCACGGTATGGCTCCCAGCGGACGATGATGGAATTGATGGAGCGGATGGCTTTCAGCGCGTTGAGCGTCACCGTTCCCTTCTGGAAGTGTACCAGGAAGAGGCTTTCCGGATACGCCTTCACATTTGCGTCCTTCATTGTCATCCGATAGACGGCACTTGAGGACAGCTTGTACCGGTCTCTGATTTCAGCTTCGATAAACTTCGGGTCGAAGTTTGGTAGGCCCCTAATGACGACCTTGAATGGCTTCTCACCGCGAATGTCGTGGGTGATGAATTCCACCTTGGAAGTCCTCAGGTGGGCGACGACCAAGTCATACTCCGCTTTGGTACGGAGCACCACCTTGGGGTGCCGACTCTGCCCAAATTGTATTCGGCTTTAACGCCCAGCGTCGCTAGATCTGCGATGAGCTCATTAAGATGGGCATTTTTCACTACCAATGGAGGTAGCTTCACTTTTGCCGCACTCGGGCCGGCAGAATTTTCGTTGCCGATGGCGTCGCCGAAATCACCGATGTCGCTGGCGTTCGTCGCAGTGACATCGGACTGGCCTCGATTCTTCTTCCTCTTCTTGCTGCGTTTTTCCAACACAGCTGGCTGGATATTCCCATCCATGGGGAGAACAGCAAACCTGTTCGAGGTAGGCACACCGGAGCTTCCTTCACTGGGGTTCTGGACCTTCGCCGGGCTTCGCGACCGATGCTTCCCCATTTCGGGGCACACACACACGCACGACAAACCGTGAAAGAGAGAGCGCGAACACTATCGCCACGAACTTTTCAAACAACTCGAGAGAGCGAGCTAACACCGAACTGAACTGCTTGACGATCAAGCAGAGAATCCACTAACTGTAAAACATATATGGTACCTTTATGTATGTAATTAGATAAACATCCGAAGTCCATCCTTTTTTTTTTACATATTCTGCCCAGAATATACTTTCTGCCCCGCCCCATTAATAAAAAAACGGTGGGAAACCCTGTCAGGGGCGGGGTTTAGAAAGTATTTTTTGTGCAGAATTTGTAAAGAAGGAGGGACGTCGGATGTTAACCCAATTGCATATACCGTGCATCATAGAGAAAGAAGCTCTATCTACTGTTTCCAATTAGCGCAATTACTCAGGAATGCTTGTGTGATTACGAACCTGTGTTTCAATAAAATCCTATTTTGAGAACATTGTTCATTCTTTAGTATTATTAGAAATTAGAAAGTTCACCAAAGACACATTTTTCATGTCTATATGTAATATTCATAGAACAAACACGGCATACATTTAGGCGTCTGCGAAAATGACATGAATAGGTCCAACCAAAATCCATTATCCTAAACCGGGGCAAGTAGAAACGCGTGGGGAAGTTGAAACGGTAGATGTATCTCTTAGCAGAAGTGAATAATCACTGAGATTATTTCTAATATAGTTTGCGGTAGTACACAATGCCTCTCAAAAATAATTACAGTGAATATTCACTTCCACTAAGAGATACACGTACTGTTTCAACATGCACCGGTGTACCTTAACTATGATGTTTGCTATCAAAACATTAAACAGGTGAAGAACCTGTATACGAGCTTTTGCTCTAACTTTGAAATTCAATAGCTGAACCCCCTAATTTTCAATTAATGTTGTACTAAGCACCTACTTATTGGAAACCAAACGTTTAATTAATGTATTTTTTGACAATTGTTTTATCCCACAACATGCATGGCGTTTGTGTGTACTGTACTGAGGTGCAAATCAACAAAAAATGAGTGGCGAAATAGTGTCAGTTCCTATTGTAGTTGATGTCGAAGTCAAATTTAGCGTACATTGATCACAGCAAAATAGCTCAACATTGATCAACCCAAGGTAGTTATGTAGGGGAAATTCTGTCAATTTTTAGCCGTTACATTAAATTTAAATACATTATTTCATGCGTAAGATGAACCGTGGTCTGATTATGCTAACATGAATTGTCGCGAGTTTTGAACCATAACCGAAAATCAAAAATGCATGACATACATCAATTTTGCATAGTTCATGAGTAGCATTTTCTATGTATGATGAATTTTGTCCATTAGGGAAGATTCATAACTGACGTAGCATGTTAGGATGACCAGACATGTAGATGTAAAATGCTACGTCATTCATGGATCTTCCTTTAAGTTTTTTTTTAGACGGTTTTACCTATATTAGATTTCTTAAATCATACCCGGTAATGACAGCCCTAGTTGTGAATTGTGTAATGACCCGATCGTGTCAGCCCCGTTTGTGAAAATCTTATCTAATCTTATCTGATCTATTCATGTTCTTTTCTTGAAGATGAATGAGGAAGATTTGGAATTACGGTTATGTGAAATAATTGAAAGATAAAAGTCTGATGCGTTGAGGGGATGACAAAATCGGATCATCAGTGTAAGTATTAGGGTGGCTCAAAATGTCGATTTTGCTCCACCCCACTCAATAGATTCTTAATCAGGTCCTGATCATACTTCCAAAATTTGAGCTCATTTGGTTGCAACATCATACTGCACTGACCCTTTGAAGTTTATATGGGAATTTATATAGGAAAAGTGAAATTTTTGTTCTCATCGTGCTAGCCATTTCCAAATAATGATTTACGGGTAAGCTTGTTATCTGTTTTTAAATTTCTGCACGTTTATCCATCAATCATTATGGTGAAAGCCTAAGATGACGAGAACTGTTCCGACGACATCATATCAAGAAGACTGGCAACTTTGCCAGAATCCAAGCGCCAGATACAATGGCGCTACGCTTGAGTGAAGGTGGAAGCAACGCATAGAAAAATGAGCAAATACACAAACCTTTCATCTGAGGATGTAATCTTTGCTATCAAATTCGTTCGAATCATTTACCTTTGAGCGACAGACGACGCGATTGTACCTGTCTCATGGCATTCGTATGAGGAAATGGAGGAGTTACCAGTCATCTTTATGTGTTGTCTTCGACTGTTCCCAATCAATTTTGAAAATTTTGATGTTTTGTTTGTGTCTTTCTTGTTCTTACAGTGTCAAATTTCGGCTGGACGAAATGGGGGACATCATCTGGTACAATGACCTAGTCAATATGAACCAGAACAATGATGATCAAAAGAGAGCCAGCTTTGAGTCCAGCTTCTGTCCAATCAACGACTCAGCAGCAGTGTTGTTCAGTTGCGAGACGTTCGAGGTGCTTGAGCTTAGCTCCAATGGACCGGGTTTGATCTTTGGAGCCTACACTGGTCATAGTATTGAGTTTTTAGCTAACACTCGCAATCCTACTGATCGCATGCTATTGAAGTGTGATGGATGGTGCCAACTGGTATGTAAACGAGTGAAAGATGACCAATCTGTCGGTCAGGAGGTGCCATTTACGCTTTTATCAGTACTGGACGACGGAAACTTCTGTGACGTTACACTGAAAAGCTGCGATAATGTGATTGTAAGTATAACATTGTATTGTAATTGAAGTTATGCTATAATCTCTTCTGTTTACCAGTACAACGTTCATTCACCGATACTGCGTTTGAATGGCTTCGACTGTAGTAGCATGGCAGCTGCATCCACATATCAACATTTGGCCAGTCGATTTGATACCGATCGACCTCATCCACCGTTGATGAAAGTTTGCTCGGTACCATGTGCAAAATCACCTAAAGCATCAACCCAACATATCAGCCAACGGGCTAGTCCAACTACAACTTGCAACTTTCTTCTTCCTCCAACATTGGACGTTTACAACCTATCACCAAAGTTTGTCAACAATATTTCCAATTCGTTCAACTGTCTACCATCCAACGATTCGATCTTCCTAGATGTACCCAAGAAGCATCACGTTTTTTCCTCTGACTCAAATCTCAACTCGGACCGGAATATATTTTTCTTCCCCGCACCCAATGCTTTAGCTCCCTTCCAAGATAACTTTCATCGTGGAAAGTTTAAACTCCCTTCATCACCATTCAGAGCACGCAGTCCTTCGCCTTTTCCTTGTTCAATGGATACGCCGCCTTCGTCTCCTCTTACACCGCTTTCAGTTCTGAACAACATTCCCTCGAAGATGTTATCCACAATTTTGCACTGGCTATACTGTGAAAGTCTTCCTGAAGATCTGGACGAGGAGACGTGCTCCAGTTTGATTTCCATGTGTGAAAGCACAACTCCATTAAGCCGGATGACTGGACCATGCAAGAATTTCCTGCGTAATATCCAACTGAAGAAGTGTAAGTTCTGCAATGATGAACGTTAGTTGTATAATCCATAACTGATTTCGGTAATGAATTCCAGTTGTCATCGATGTAGTATCGGATCTGCACGACAGTTTGAATCTGGTAATTCAGATGGTTAATCCAAACACAATTTCTCACAGTCCGTGCGTTTTGTGTCAGATATTCAAAGAGGGATTTAAAGAATCTTTGATTGGTACGACCTTTTTATATTGTTCGAAGTTGATATCAAATACTTAGTATGTTTTTTGTATTCAGCCATCGTGAAATTAGTGCAGTTTTGCAACATCTTCACCAAAGATGCCACAACATTTACTCGCTACCAGCGGCATGAAATTATCAAATACGTCCGATCTAGGACGCCGGTCTTCTTGTCTCAAATTCATCAGCTGCTCCAGAACATCAATATCGTTCTATGTTCGTTAACTACTGAAGAGAAGAACGATTTGGTATCCTACTTGGTGCCGGAGATTACCTACGCCTTAGAAGTGCTAGCAGCGTCGATGTCTGAAATTAAAAACTCATTGGAGATAGTTTGCAAGGTAATGGCGACAATTCGCACTACATTGATTTGGCCGTAATATGATGGATCTTTTTTTTTTTAATCAGGATCTCAAGTCAACTACTGATGTGCGTACAGGAGGTAATGGTGGTTCAACAAGCGGAATGAGGGACGGTCGATCGGGACGTACACGAACTCGTAGCTCAGCTGATCATTCCAACCACATGAGTCAAGGTGCAACAAGTCCTTCGACCGGCGGAGAGTCACGCTTCAACCAGAACTCTGAAAGTGATTTGAAGTTCTTCTTGTACATGTATGAAGTGAAAAAGATGCGAGACATTTACGGCAAAGTGTGTAGCGCTTTGGAGTTTATTCTGCGCTCCAGGGCATCCTTCAATGAAATGAATCATGTTCATCAACACGAAACCGTCAGAACAAATCTGGAACAAATCACCCTTGAGGTACCAATGTTCGTAGCTCGGTTGGAGGAATTGTGTGATATCATTGACGAAAGAATCGGTTGGAAAGAGTTCAAGTTTTGCTTCAAGTTTCTGACCAGTCAGGTGGTAAGTGGTTTTCTAATATGCAGGTTAATAAACAATCCAAAAATAAATTGCTATTTTTAGAATGGAATAATTACTAAACTATTGGAGCATAAGACTGCCTTACACGATGCGATGTTGTATGTAAGTAGATTGAAGGAAGGTTTAGTAATATTTTAAATAATAATCATATCCTTGCACATGTAGGTGTCTAATCTGGTACAAAAAGAACAATTCACCCGTGCCCTGCTAGAATTAGGCCTACTTGCAAACCGAAGTGTAGAAAGTAGTGGATATGGGGACCCTCGGCCGTGTCCTAGCAGATATCAGAATTACAGTAGCACAAAGGTAAAATTCTGTAAAGAGGCTTCTGTTTAAATATGACCTTATTTGAAATATGTTGCAGCTCAATCTTGTGCAAAGTCTATGCGAGCCACCATCCGCTATCAACAGCAGTCTGTCGAAGAATGCCTTAAAATTGCTTCACTCGGGACAACTGGCAGACATGGAGTTTGAGGTTGTGGTTTCGCCAACGGATTGCCAAAATGAAAATATTACATTTGACTTCAGCCCTGATGATGCATTGCTACAGAACGATAGTGCAGCAGCCGTCTGTGGGACACCAGTCAAGAATCAGTCGCATACTTTCAAAGCCCACAGAGTCATTGTAGCGGCCCGGTGCGAGTGGTTCAAAAAGGCGTTACTCTCCGGAATGCAGGAGGATATAAATAGGTGAATTAGTGAATTTGATGTTACCTTTAAGAATTCACTGAATATTCTGTTTAATGAATCTGTTTTCAGGAAAATTGTCATACACGATACTTCACCTGTGATATTTCGACGATTACTGCTCTATCTTTACGGTGCACCAGTTGACAAATCGGTTGGTGTAGATCAAATTTGTGAGCTGATGCTGCTGGCCGATCGATATTCGGTGGATAACCTGAAAGATATCTGTGAAAATACGTTGATAGCATCGATTGACAGTGACTCGGTGATCTACTTATTTGGAATTTCAGATCGATTTAATGCATCCTCGTTGAAAGCAAGCTGTCTGTCGTACCTTTCGCAACACACTGAATTGACTAAATTGGAGATATTCAGCGAACTGCCAGGATATCTGCAGGTAATATAAAATTACATTTTATTATTACTAATTGCATCTGAAGCTGTACTGCCCCAAAAATGCTAAAAGTGTGATAAAACTGCACGTTTCCGTCAAATCGATTTGGTTTCTTTCAAGCCCTTATTGCTTTCATCATAAGGAATAAGTGCACCGAAGACACCAAGACAATTTGCCGGTAACTTTCACTTTACCACACTTTTTAATATGTCAGTTAGGTGTTAAATGCGCAATATTTACATTTTAATCTTAAACATCCTATTTGTAGAATGAAGTGCAAGACCTAATCAGGTGGTGTGGTCGCGTACCGGAGCCTTGGAAGGAACGTTCTGATCGCACCAGACGAAGTCTGAAAAGCCCTTCACGATCCAAGTCGTCACGATCAAGGAAAACATCTCCCTCATTCATGTGACAATGATGTGCCAAACTGGCAACACTTCGCTGACTGTTTCTTAAAAGCTGATAATGCTTTCTCTCTAACTCGTTTGACTGGAAAATAATTACTGTGATGTGTCGTTGTATTAGGACACGAGTCTCGAACGAATCAATGGAGGTCCCGTTCCTCTTGTTATGGGGCTTCCAGGTATCATAAATTGTAATTATCAATTCAATAAACAAGTCTTATCACAAGCTGTAACTGTAGATAGTGATTAAAATTTTCAATTGACATAGGACACAACGTCATAAACACAAAAAAGTAGAACAAACAGCTACCAGAAAACGTACATTTTAGTCTTCGATTGCGTATGATAGAAAGCAAAACAATGAAACTAACATCCAATAGAAAGTCAAGTTGTAGTCTTATAATAAGCAGAAGAAAATCGTATTCGTCACATACTCATAACAACAAGCGAATGTGTGTAAGAAAAAAAGCATCGGATATGGATTGTTGCCAGTAGAAGACAAGAATAAAAAAGTTTGAAAAGCGAGCACTACAGGCTCTATTGTCATTGGAAATAAAGAAGTTTGATTTAAATTGAATTAAAACATCAAACCGTTAAGTAAACTTTTTTTTTTTTTTTTTTTCATTTTGCCGGCATACGCAATCTAAGTCTTTAGTTAGTTTCAATAAAAACAATATGTTTACTGAGAATATTATCGTGTGCTACATAATTTATTGATGTTTAAGTATTCTTCATAACATATAGTATTTATTTAAAAAAAAAAAAATGGTACGAGAAGCCATCAATCGGTTTATCAGATTTAATTTTTAACCAGGAACATCGAGTTTGATAGTATTTATAGGGAAATAGAAAGAAGTAAAGCCAGAATAAAGCTTGTAATAATGGTTAAAGAGTGTAGATCTGTTTTATTCCACTGTTTTAGATGTTCATGAAGTAAAATTTAATTCTTCCAAAGTATCTGCTGCGTGTGTTATTTCGTTAATTGTTTGAGAGAATATCCATACAAAGCTGGATACAGTAACTGGACGCAGGAACTAATTTATAGCAGTGCTCCTAGAGGTCTGCTCTGACACGTTTTGACAGCAGATAGTGTTGAAAGAGCTCTTCTTACAGTACTGAAAAAATCATCCCGATTAGTGCTGGTTTTAAAAACTAAAGATGAAAATTTATTTTCGAAAATCCCACGTGGTCAGCAACGGCACGAGGAGGTGTCCCCGGCAAGTTTAAAATCATTTTCACCGACAAATTTTCCCGGAAGCTGATGATCTGGCAGTAGATCTGCAGATATGGCCGCAACAATTTAGATTTTCGCCACAAAGAAGACCATGAACTTGAAGGAAAAATGAATTCAACCGTTCATTAATAAACATAAAGAACCAATTGAAGTTCATAATTTATACAACATAGCCAATGTCCAATTTACAAACAATTCTACCCACCTAAACCCAACTGAAATATTTTTTTCTCGACTCTCTCAATCACTGTCTGAATTGCATCCATGCTTTCCGGAATACGAACTGTATCTTCGACACAATCCATGCTCACCCTCCGTACATTTTATCAGCCCGTCACCCCATGGGTTGGCATCAGCGTCTCGGCACCAGGCCTCTACATTTTCGAAGCTCTAAAATGAACACGAGTTTTGTCTCTTTCATATAACGTGTTCAACGCATCATTGCTTTTACACTTAGCTAGACTATCAGCTCGAAACGACAATGAAAAAGAAGCACGCTTTGAATGAAAGGCTAGCTGCGGATTATCTCGTCGTTGCTTATTTTCAATGAAAGTAACGTCAATTACCGAGATGAAACGAGACCTCATTATGGCTTTCAATTCATTTCAGCGACACTCACCACTCTTTAAAAAAAGCTGTCAGTCTCTTCGTCACATCGATTTTGTCGATTGAAGCTGATGTTGTGGCGCCCTATTCAGGATAGCTCCTTAAAACAGATTTACTTACTCAGCATTATCTTCCGTTTATTTCCCCACTTTACGCACTTTAACGCTCCCTTCGTTCTGTTTCATTTTTTGCTATCTGAGCGCGTCTTCTTCTCTAAACGGCTAGCGATTCTTTCAAGTCGTTCGCATTCCGATCCGAGGGGCCGCTGTCTACACGGAGTGCCTCAACAAAGAGGTCATTGTCGAAAGCCTTTGTCGTCCTCTTCTACGCTAGTTCTCGTCCTCTGTATTGCCACTGGATTCCGTTGTCCAAGGCTATGCTCATGCACTTCTCATGCTCTGAGCGCAAGCTGGCGTTGCTAGATCGCTGCTCCTCTCTCCATTTACGCTGTGATTGCTCTGTTGACGGCATTCCAAAAGCCCTCCTCTCGACACATGTCATCGACGAAATTCTTCACGTTAATGACGGATATCTCCCTCGCAATGCTTCGAACCTTGGACAGTCGAAAACATCATGCTCTGGCGTTTCATCTACGTTGCCACTCTCCGGACAGAGAGGTGATACTACGTGTCCAAACCGATGCAGGTATTTCCTGAATCAACAGTGGCCAGACAGGAACAGCGTTTGGTAGAATTTGACATCTCCGTGATTTCTGTCAACCCAGGTCGAAAGAATCAGTAATAGCCTATGTGCCCATCTACCGTTCTCCACCGTGTTCCACTCCTGTTTTCACTTAGCACAGAACAGAAGTGGAACTTCGGAACAGAAAGTGGCTCCGCTATTATTTGGCGAAAACTAGTGCACCTAGCGGTTGAAGGCATCGTCTTCCTGCAGTTAAGATAGGCAGCATGCTATGATAGTGGGGGTGCGCATAGAAAGCCCGTGTGGAACGCTACCACATCGCATAGCTTGTTGAGCAAAAAAACGTACCACTTTTTGATTCATCGATTTGTTTGCACTTCCCCTTCTGTTCTGTGCACTTAGCCAAAAAGTCCGCTCTCACCACTTTCCGTACTCTTCCGGCTTCTCTTCGCTTGAAGTACTCTCTGTCCTCCGCCAGGTTAATGCCGATAGGGGTCATTCCGGCGATAACGCAAACTGCTTCCGACGAGATGGTTCTGAACGCACTCACGACTTGCATGGCCATGAGCCGGAACGTACTGCACAGTTTCCTATGGTTCTGCTTGGTTTCCAGCGCTGCAACCCAGGCTAGACCTCCATAGCTCAGTATCGGCGACACTGACACTGACCAGGAGACGCCTCTTGCTACTTAAGGGACCAGAGTGTTCGGCATGATTCTAGCTATCGCGTTCAAGCCATTCGCTGCCTTCTCGCAGGTGTATTCTACGTTCTTATTAAAGTTTAGCCGGTCATCGATCATGACTCCTAGATATTTCAACACGCGCTTCGAGGTTATGGCGTGTTCCCAGACGGTGACGGTGCCTGCTGCACCGCTTTATAGTTACTGACCAATAGCACTCCCGTTTTGTGGTGCGCTATCTGAATCTTCGCTGCACTTCCACCTTTTCCAGCGTCTCGCCTGTTACCATCAAGACGAAGTCTTCCTCAAAGCCAACAATCTCCCTTGGGCAGCATTAGCGACAGCACACCGTTGTACATCCGGTTCCTGATCGTTGGACCAAGGATGGGGCCTTGTGGCGCTGCTGAAGGAAAACAATTTGGAAGAAGCAAGAGAGTTGAGAGCACGGATGAAATCGGAAGCTAAACTCAAGCCGCCTCCAAAGAAGTCATAAGCAATGTCCCTCATTAAAATTTATTGTAATTAAAAATATATATTTAATGGTTCTCAGCTCCTTGAGGCCTCCCAGAGCTCAGTCGGTAAAGGCACAGTTACAAAGCAAGACCATGCTGGAGGTGGCGGGTTCGGTTCCTGGTCCGTTCGAATTATATCTAATCTAAATAATTATAAATAATCTAATTATAATTATTCGGTTTGGAAAATTTCTCAGCTTCCCTCAGCATAGAGCATCATTGTACTAGCCACACAAATTATATTAATGCAAAAATGGTACCAATATCGAAAGCTCTCAATTAATAACTGTGTAAGTGCACCTAGAACATTAAGTTGAGAGTACGCAATAATCTAATATGCGTTAAGCAATTAGCTTGAAATGCGAAAAAGAGGAAGCATCGTAGAGTCCTTTTGCATATTTTAGACTACTAGAGAGAAAGATTAGTAATTTCCATTTACTTCTACTACCTTATTTGCGTATCCTTGACAGAAACGTGTAATTCGTCTACAATATGCAGACTTCTTCAGTGTCGTGTACTAATAGTACAGTAGTAGTTTTTAGTTTTTCCGAAATTAAAATGGCAATAATAATAATGCTATTTTTTTTATTAATTTATTTGATAAGGCTCAACCAAATAAACTTTACGGAGCCGAGGATTCTTGTTCACTATACAATACATCTTAAAACTATAGCAAAAGATACAACACAATAAACATTTTATCTTCCGCTCTACAATAACCCTCCTCCACCAGAACGGGAGCCGCTTCCAGTGGTTTAATTGTATGGCAGATTCACCAACGGTGGTCAGAGCGCTTCCATTGCAGCAATGGACGCAAAACGTGGTCAGCACTCACACATTCATCACGAAACGGTTGCTTTCCAAAGTCGACGACGCATCGACCGAAAGAACTGCTGATGAAGAACAATGAGGAGTACCACATCATGGTTGCTGCCGAGTAAACAGACGAGCGCGTGACACACATTGAGAGTGGTCTGCTTCTGTCGACAGCCGAGTGAACACTGATGAAGTGTGATGTTTTTAAGTATTTTTCCTTATTTCAAATGTGAGCAGTGCTTTTTCGAGTTATTTTGGTTTCGTGATTTTTTGCATCAAGAATAAAACATGCCATCATATTTTCCATTAGTGATAAGCGTGATTACCTCTCACCCAAGCAGGCCTGGGTTCAATTACAGTCGGGACCGCCGGGATGTTCTGAGGCATAACATCTCTGATCACGCCGGAAGTAAAGCCGTTGGTCCCCTGTTCATGAGTTGATGGGTCGATAGGTGTAGGGTCCAGGTGTGGGAGCTGCCTCCTTGGCGTCGGTAGCATTGGTGCTCAGCACGCAAATCAAGATCGACGGTAAACAAAAAAATAAGGAAAAAGGGCATATTTTCCCTTTTCTTTAAAAGCGGCTCGTTCTTTTCTAACATCAATCTTTGTTGCTTTGATTTATTATTTTTCGGTATTTAGCAGTTCCAATTGATTTTTTTTCCAAAATGGCGTCTTAAAAATTTTTCAACAAATTGTAGCTCGAAAACTCCATTTTTAAATTCTGTCCGAAATTATGTAGAGAAAGTATTTTTTCTGGGAAAAATATACACGGTTATTTATTTTTAAATTATGATTAAAATTTCCAAAAAAATATTATACATTCAAATATCTTAAAATGTTACTTTATACTCATAATTTGTTATTATAATAAAAAAGGTCACGAAAATTGAAAACATGTGACTATGGCATGACCAGACACTCCCGGGTAACTAGCTCAGTAGCATGAGACCCCTGAACTGTGTCGCAGGGCCGGCATGTTACTGGGTATTCGGAGGGGCTACGCGGACAAGGTATGAAACACAGGAATATTCACATTTTCTAAAACATTTATTTGCCCTTTTCTGTGGCGTGTGGGTGTGGGTTTTCACATATATGTGGCGTGTATGCGAGAGTTTATGAACAGTACGGTACTCACTGTTGCAGCAGATTCTTCTTCGGCATCGCGACGCTGGCGTTGGCCCACACGGCTGCTCCTGCACTACCGTGTGGCCGGAAACTTGCGGCGCGGGCTGCAGACAGTGTTGTTGCCGCTTTGGGAGAATGGCGGATCTGGTGGCGTTCATCAGCCACATACGGCTCAGCAGGCGTTGCTGGCTCGTTTAGCTGGCAGGCGTCTTCCGTCGTTGACGGCATCGGCTGACCGTGGCATGGCCACCTTGGTCGAGCCGAGACGGGACCCTCCTTGGCAATTAAGGCCACCGGCCTGAGGGAATCGTCCCTGACGGACGATCGAGGATCATTTACTATTAGGCTCGGAAGCCATCTTGACTTCCGAGCCGAGCCGTGTAAAACCGTTTTGCTTACGGTACGAGGTGTACAAAATGTACAAAAGCACAAGAGCTCCTGAGAATTATCAAATTCAGTCAGGGAAATTTCCGTCAGGATAATAAAATTCAATTACCTGAACGGAGGTAGGCTTTCCAGCCCAAACCCCCACAAGGGGGGGGGGGGGGGTTTATTGTATATGCACTACACTTCACGATACCGGTCTACACGGACGCCTGATTACTTCTGCCAATTAGAAGGTTTTTTCTTTTACAACATGGCCACTCGCATGCCTTTTGCCGATCATTCTCCATTTTTAGCTTAATTGTCCTCTCTTTAGTATCGTTCGAGTGTTTTTGCAGCGGTACTAACCCTCTCGCTGCTGTGTGTTGCCTTCTGTCTTTTAAATTAAAATACGTGAATTTTCCAAACAACAACAACTCATACAAACGAAAATCCACGGATTGTAACCAACTGGTTACAAACATTTGGAATATTGAAAACCATGGACATCTGAAAATAAACAAAAATAGAAAAACAAAAACTTTTGGAAAACAAATTGAACTTCTTGTTGTACACGCTTTATAAATAATTTTTGCGCAGACAACTATTTAAATATCTCAGTCATTGTTTCTTGTGCAGAAATCACAAAAAAAAACTTGCCAAACAAAAAGTTCTTGTTTTAAGATTTTTATCAACTTTAAAGTGTCCATAGTTTTCAATATTCTATAAGATTCATTTTTCCATTAGCTATTAAATAAAAAGTTATAAAAATTATACTTAAATGTGAATGATTGCCCATAATAAACAATTATGCAAAGTTTCATGCAACTCGGAGAAGGTTGAGTTTTATCGATTAGTCATGTGGCGCGGAACTGCTCTATTGTAGACATTTTATAGATGCACTGAACTTTCAAAGATTTGCAAATTTGATAAGAAAGTAAAATGTAACATTTTTCATATTGTTTCCTTCTTTCAAACGTGTACAAACTGTTCTTTTGAGTTTGACTGTTTCCGAGATTTATGTCAATTTCATAATTTTTCAATCTTTTATAAGTAGAGCATTCTTTTCTATTTACCTTAGGTTAAGATTTTCTATGGAATTTTCAATACGCAAAGATCCCAACGATGCCAATGGTTCACCGCTTCCTCACCTCAGTATATGTGGGTTCAATCCCAGCCGAGGCCGGTGAGATTTTTCTGAGGATCTGAGATTTTCCGGAAGGGAAGTAAAGCCGTCTTTCTTTTCGAAAGGGAATTAAAGCCGTTAGTCCCGGCACATGTGCTGATGGGTTCGATATCTACCCAGGCGTGGAATCCACCTCCCTGGCCATTCGATTGCCGTGAATGGATGTCAATCGATGTCCGTCAGTGCTAAGCACAAAACAAGTTTTCTATTGCCGTCCACCCACCCCTTTTTCACGGCTGTAGTTTAACCAATTGAGCTGATTTCATGTAGATGATTAGTTTTTTTTTCTTTATTACCGTAGGCTAGTTCACTAATGATATTTTAAAAAAATCAGCTCAACCGGTTAAAAACAGCCGATAAATAGCAATGGGTTGTTGGCACCACCCCCCGTACTCTTCGGGGGAATTGTGGTTAGTTGTTACTACGCTAAGCTAATGCTAAAGTGGTATACAGCTAGAGAGATCTATTTGAAAGCGGGGTTAAAAGAAAACTTGGTTGCTCCAAAATCATGAATGAGGTTAGCTAAACAGATGATTGTTGATGTAAATCGAATATATGTGGGAGAACTATCGATTAGAAATAAATACATCTGCCATTGCATTTGGCATTGTATAACTCAAGCCACATTTATGTTTCACATAAACCATCTGATTGATTACACTTATAATCTGTCTATACCATGTGTAATGTGATGTGATGTAATGTAATGTAATGTGTAATTCCGATAATACTTGATGTAAGCAACCGAGTTGTAGAAATTTAGATATTGATAGCCCCGTAACGTGGGTAGATCAGCTTTTCGTGGTACGTTACGGGATGTAAGATCTACCACCGATTCCTGGTCTTGACTACTTCAAACTAGGGGAGCTGGATTTTTCAGTTATTAAAAGGAACACATCTTAGTCCTTGTTACTTTTAATGCCTTGTTGATAAGTGATAAGTCCTCGGGTTGCCTGGACCGAGGATGATCTTGAAACAAGGAAAAAATGAGTTAGTTAGTCTTAATCTATGTGATTCCTAATCTTCTATTCGTTGTTCCCTAGTTTGAAGTGGTTAAGACTAGGGTTCTGATGCATGGTCACTATGGGTGTCATTCCTTGATTTTGTTGCTAAGGAATCCAATTTGAATGACAAAAGGGCGCGCCTTTGGAGGGTATTCCAACACTCCGAAGGGTATAAATAGCGGGACCTTTCAATTAGAATCGATTCCTTGCGATGAAGGCAAGAATGACAACTTTATCAAATCCGAATATACTACGGGATATACTACAATAGATCAAATTACTGGTCGCAGTAGTTTTATGTCCCGAACAGAGGAAAAAAAAAATGCAATGCCTATGCATTCGAGGTTGGTATTATCTTGCTTTCCACAGTTAATAAAACTTAACGTTCTGCTTTCCAAACGGCCAATCTGAAACGAACTCATGTAACTTAAAGGCGAAAACGTGAAGACTATTTTCAAACTTCTGACACTGACATTTCCTTACTTCGCCGTACGCATGACAACTCCATTATCCTTCAAGGTTGTTCAAGTGGCCGTCTGTTACCATTACAGATGGAGAGAAAATCCAAAACAAAACATTCCAGCAAGCAGCGAGATCTGCCGCACATTTACATACCAACATCATGCAATGGAATTGAGTTTAAATACCTTCACATGTGTATACATACGACCAAACCTCCCCTTTATTTCCCACCCAGATAGCAGGTAGTCACCCACCATCAGTTATCTTTTCGCACTCATACTAACAACGATGTAGGAACTCGGCGACAGCGTTTTCCAGTAACTTCCGGGAACGCGTGCGTATCTGTAACAATAACAAATAGCCGAACGGTACTCAGCATATTCTCGCCTGGTTGCTACGAAGCGATCGAGTGGTTCGGCACGGACCAGCTACCAAGCAGCACTCGTCGGGTGGATTTCCAGTCCCAGTCAAACCGAGACTTTCATTGCGATGAGTTTACATAATCCGTCGGTGTGCGGTTGCGGTTGGTTTGTAATTTTTTCAGCAAAAAACTGAGCAGAGGGCTGTGATTGTGTGGTGCTCTTGAAAAGAAAATGCAGGGTTTTCCGTGACAGAACATTTTTTCGCGAACCTTGACGGAACGACGGTGCTCTGCTCAGGGATTGGCACATAGGTGACTGTCGGAACCGCTGTCAGCTGCTGCTTCCGTGAAACGTTGGGTGTGTGCTTCAGAAATTTTCCGTCGTCGCATGTCACGTCAGGTGAAAGGAATACGACGGTGTTTCGGTGGGGAAGCGGAGAGTCTCTATGAACGCTTCGAAGAGAAAATATTGTTTGGTGAAAAGATGGTTTGCTGAAAGAGGGTGAATAAAGAAAAATCTATGTCCCCACTGTATGGCAAAAAATCAAGTGAATCGCGATGTGTGTAAAAATGGTGTTCGTATTCCATGAGGGAGGAAGATTCCGTGTATTGAAGTGATTTTTCTATGCTTATACCTACTTGAGTCATATAATCAGTAGCCGTGAATGCAGAACGTTGGTGGTGTGTTTGCAGGTGGGATGGAGGAGAGAGAGAGCTATCACCATACATCGCTGGTCTGCCAAGATTGGGGATGGGAGCTATTCCAGTTTGAAGATAATCGCGGGCGCAAGGAAAAATACTTCCATTGGTTTACTAGGGACGTTCGTTCTCCTTCGTCTGTTCGTCTTTGTGGGCTCCCACACGTTCATCTACACAAGGAGTCGTGTCCTTCGGTAAACAAGGGGCATTCAGATGGTTGATGCTGTGTTTTTTTGTCAACTTCATTACATTTACGATTAAGTAATTTTCAATGTTTCGTACAGTTTTAGAAACTGTACGAATTTAAATGTTTATATGATATGATGCGCTTAAAAAATCATCACTTTAGACATGCATTATTTATTTAAAATCAGTTATGGAAGAATAAATCGCTATAGGATACCTTTATTATTTCGAGTTCATGAAAGCAAAATAAAGCTAAATAACCCGGTTTTAAAATAACAGTTTAAGTAATGTGAGCTTGATTGGAATTCAAAATAAATCTAAAATATACTGCTATTTTTTTCAGGAAGGAATCAAGATTCTTAATATTATATTGTGTCTTTCATATGGGAAGGAGATTTACGTTTTTCTCATCACATTGATAGGTCACTGTCCATTTATGAGTATCTGGAATTCAAAGTTGGTCAAAAACATTTAATATTTAACAAAACAATTAACTCAATTTAAAATTAAGCAGCAATATTCCAAATGAAGTTGAACTAAGAACCTGTTTGATATAAATTTGTTGTTAATTAAAATAGCTGGAATTAAAATCTTTATCAATAAGTTGCTGAAAATAACGAAAAAAATCTTCCAATTTGATGATTTATTTTTAATAAATAAATCAAACCTAACGATCTAAATTCTGAATTGAGAGCCTTGGGAGTGGGTTGAGAAACTTTTTTTTTAATTACTGTACATGTTATAGATGAACTTTAATAACGACATTTTAAACCGTAACTAGTTGTCTTTAAACTTATCAGTGTACCAAAGAATTAATTAATTAATTTAGCTTTATTTAGGAGGCTTTCAGCCTTAGGCTGGTTCGCCTCCGCGTACCAAAGAAGAATACTAAGATGAAACAAGCGAAATTAAAATAATGTCCTTTTACACAGTCCAATTCATCCAAAATCCCCGTATACAAGGTGTTTTTATGGTTATGCTGCCTTTTCGGTAGAATTGACGTTTATCCTTATTTTTTACCCAAGCAATCACACCAAAGATCAGTGATTTCCCAATTTTTAATCACTCCATTAACAACTAATTAATTTTTTTTTTATGTTCGCTGTATTGTCATTTTTCCACCAAAGAGAAAGCAGAACATATTTGAAACGATGGGAGATGATCCTCTGGAGAAGTTAATGCTTACTTGGCATGATATAACCGATTACACATATTTTACTTTTGGGTTCGTTAATCCATTAATGCATTATTCGAATAAAAAGCAGACATCACTAGATGAATGTGAAACGTCATTTCAAATAAAAGGACCATTAATAAATAAGGAGACAATTTGAAAGGGACCGGGGTTAAACATAAATTACGTCGCAACGGTAAATGAAAAAAGCACGAGTGACCAGGCTTGTACTGCAGTGCTTAAAGTGATTGATGTTCTTAAAGCAGTTGTTCACGGAATCAATTTTATTACATTTCATAACTGCCTTAGAGTTAAAGGTTATTGCGTGCCCTAGGTCTGCGTTGAATCACATTACGCCCTACTTCATTTGCTTAATTATGCAAGGTCTTTACACCCACAAAGTTTTATTATAATCTGAAAGTGTGCTGTCTGCTCCATAGACGCTTTTGGATGATTGTTTACTCAGTGCAGAATGAAATTGAAAAGTTATGCTATTATTGAAAAAATCACTTGGGGGAAGTGCACCAGTATTGGCCATTGGTTCCTATTTTGGCCACACCTCAGAAAACCGATTAAATTACAATAATCGTGCATTTTGTGGTCGAAATTTTTATGTACACCGATGAATATGATTTGTAACAACTAACTGAACGCAACTGAACATCTCAAAATTATAAACACCGCGAATTATCATCAAAAGGTGGCCAAAATAGGAAAATCACCATAGCCAATACTGGTGCGTTTCCCTTACACAATTTTAATATATTTTTTGCAGTGACGGAATGTATTACAACTTTCTAAAATTCCTTTTATTGTCTTTCGCTGTGCAGGCCAAATCTTTTTTTTTTATATATAGGTTTCTGAAAAACAAAAATAAAAAATGGACCTTTTTAAAAAGATGCCCTGATTTTTTATACCGGAAAACAAATATGCAAAGATGATGTATATTTTTTTTCCTCTGTTCGGGACCTAACACTACTGCGACCAGTAAATTGATCTATTGTAGTATATCCCGTGTCCTTAGTTTAGTGCATGTCGTATTACTCCATCACTATTGAGAAATGATGAAGTATTCGATTTTTTTACAGTTGCCACTCTTGCATTTATCGCAAGGATCCGACTCTAATTGAAAGGTCCCGCTATTTATACCCTTCGGAGTGTTGAAACACCCTCCAAAGGCCGCCCCTTTGTCAGTCAAAATTGAATTCCTTAGCAACAAAATTAAGGTATGACACCGATAATGACCATGCATCAGAACCCTAGTCTTAACCACTTCAAACTAGGGAACAACGAAGAGAAGATTAGGAATCACATAGATGAAGACAACTAACTCATTTTTTTGCCTTGTTTCAAGATCATCCTCGGTAGACAAAGCCGAGTCTTGTCACTATCAACAAGGCATAAAAAGTAACAAGGACTAAGATGTGTTCCTTGAATTACTGAAAAATCCTGTTCCCCTAGTTTGAAGTAGTCAGGACTAGGAATCGGTGGTAGATCTTACATCCCGTAACGTACCACGAAAAGGTGATCTACCCACGTTACGGGGCAAGAAGAAGATGATGTATAAGTCAAAGTCTTTACACCCAATTAGTGTCATTTTGAAATCTGAGAGTGTGCTGCTAACCACTGGTCGAGTTGAAGTGAAATTCGTCTTGGGGATATTGGACAACATCAACTTGTTTTTCTTGGGCTGAGTTTAAAACAGAGCGGGTGATGCTAAAATAAAACAGTAGGAAGAAAAGCACATTCTATTCTAGGGTCGTCTTCCACGGTTCCCTTCATCCAATGAATATCCCTTTTATACAAGGTGTTTTTGTGCTTATGCTGTCCCCTCGGTAAAGTTGATATTGTGCGCTTTTTTTTACAATCACTTAAAAAATCAGAGATGTCCCATTTTTTAATTACTCGATTAATAACTAATCGATTATTTTTTGTCCGCTGCGTTTGTGTGTGTCTTTTTTCCTCCCATGAAAGTGCAGAACATGTTTGAATCGATAGGTGATGATCCTTTGGAGAAGTTAATGCTTCCTTAGCACGATATAACCGATTAAAAATAATTGTATTATGCGGTGCGTTAATTATTTATCGATAGCTATTGATTATTCCAATAAAATCGGACACAACTAGATAAGTCAAGGAAAGGCGAAAATGGATCGAGTGATGTGCGTTGTTCGGGTATCGGAGACACTCTCCCTTTGAACGGCAAGGTGATGGACTTTCGTGTCTGCTATTTAACATCGAGTGGCACGATCTTCAGAAAGTTCATTCAGCCTTTGCTGGCTGGTGAGATGACATTGACATAATCCCCCCTATTCTGCGAGTCACGTGACTCTCTCTCACCGGTGAGGAGACAATAGTCACCTCGTGTGAGGTGACTCTCCATTTGATTTGCATGGAGAGTCACCTCACACGAGGTGACGATTGTCACCTCACCGGTGAGATAGAGTCACGTGACTCGCAGAATAAGGGGGAATGGCACGGAACTTTAAGACGGTATTACGGCAGAAAATCGTGCCTATTTTGGACTCCGGAGGACGCTACCGTCGTATAAAATTAGCCGGCGCACTAAGATGACCACCTACAAGACGCTGACTAGGCCGGTAGTCCTCTACGGCCATGACACCTTGGCTATGCTCGTGGAGGATCAATGCTCCTTTGGTGTTTCGAACGGAAGGTGTTGCGGACCATCTACAGTGATATGTAAATGGAAGACGGAACGTGGAGGAGGCGAATGAACCACGAATTACACCAGCTGCTGGGAGAACCATCCATCGTCCACACTGAGAAAATTGGGCAACTACGGTGCGCTGAGCACGTCGTAAGAATGCGATGATCCATGCAAAAACGGTTCTCGAAAAAGGACCCACGAAGAAGAGACGCGCAGCGGGCAAGTTGGAGCGACCAAGTAGAAGCCCGAGCAAAGTATGAGATCAAATTGAAATCTAAATTTGATGTTGTGATTTCCCTGATAATGATTACACAGGTTGCTGTCGTTTTGGTCGTTTTAACGGTTAAAATATCAAAATTGAGAGCAAAAAAATCTTCCTGAGACATTGAAAACTTTTTCGGCAATCAGTGACAATAATCTGAAAACTCAATTTGATATTTATTTGTTTATTTATTTATGCAATACAAGAATAATAGCACAAGTAATCTGCTAATGATTTTCAGAGTATATGCTACTATTACACTAACTGAAGTAGTTGCTGCATAAGTTTTTGAATCTTGTTAAACTTCTTGCTGTCTTGCATTCAATCGGTAGTTAATTCGATAATCGAATCGAACGATAGCACATCGAT